AAAAAACAAAACGAAATGCATACCTACTATTGTCTGACTATATATGACAGCATTTTATCACCATCACTAAATTATTAAGACGTTGCAAAAGATTATATTATTGCCATCATTGGTGACTTAGTGGCTTCCCTAGGCATTTAAAGAAATGCCTAAAATCCTCATTTTCTGCGACATATAAATCTATACCTACTTTCACTATTATCTTGAATAACAATATATCTATATGAGTGCAGACAGTACGACTCACTTTTATAATAAATAACACGCTCATTATCTACTTGTATATCACATACGTACATTACGTGCTGATAGATGTAGTGTATAGATTTAAAAAACTATTTACAACACAATATTCACTTAAACTGTTCACTAATCCAACTTATTAATTACGAATGTCACAGCTATAAGCTAGATTAGAAAGCAATTACGATTTCAAATGGTAAAAGGCAATTTCTGATAAACTTCTTTTTTATAACAAACAATTTAGATTCAAAGCTGATTGTGTAAAGTATATATATATATATATATAGGTATGACGTAACATGTATTTATGTAGTTTGATATTTGTATTTTTTTTTCTAATAGGTATCATTCAATAATCATTAAATTGTTTTTTTTATTACCTAACAAATACTTCTAGTCGCGTGGCTTTTATTGCAATGAAAACACCAAATAAGTTTATTATAATATTGTGGTATCTCTCTAAATATCACTCGATACCTAATTTCATTCGTCTTTCAATCATATAATACGTTTTTATATAGTTACTAGCTGACTCGGCAAACGTTGTTTTACCATATACATTATTTTTAGAGCTATACATGAAAATTTATCGTACTACAATTATTATATTCGATCGCCATCTTGCAACCCTATTGCGGCATATAAAAATCGCGATTAAAAAATAGGAGTTGATTGTAATAGGGTGAAAATTTGAGGTGGTATGTATATTTCAATGCTAAATCATAATAAAATAAAAATAAAAAAAAAATTGTTAAAAAAATTAAATAAAAATATTTAGAGGTGGGTCACCCTTATCATTGAGGGGTATGAAAAATAGATGTTGGCCGATTCTCAGACCTACCCGATATGCACATAAAATTTCATAACAATCGATAAAGCCGTTTCAGAGGAGTTTGGTAACAAACATCGCGACACGAGAATTTTATATATTTTATATTTTTATATATTTTATATTTGAATAATATATTTTTATATATTTAATATTATATAAATATATATATTTATATAATATTAATAACGAAATATAAATAGCGAAATAAATATATTTTTATATATTTTATATTTGAAAAAATGTAAATAATCAGATTGTATAAATTTATTTATTAATTTACGTGTGTCATAAATGGCTCAAATAAAGTGTTTATCTATCTATCTATATATAAGAATAAGGAAATATATTTAATAGTAGCAACAGTTGTATATATATAAACCATCGGACAATTCATTCCTCGATTTTAACGACGTTTAGCTTGTGTTTGAGCATTTATTAATTATCTAGACTGGAACTCATTTAATTTTCGTTAACTATATGCGGTAGATTTTAATTAGCTTCTTGTTGGCATATATATTTAATTATTAAGTTATTATAGCTGTAAACTAACCTCAAAAAGAATAAATAAATAAGTAATTAAGAATTAATTAACTTAATTCACATTTTTAATATAGTAGAATGTTACCAGAGGGAGACTGTATAAAAGACGATTACTTGGGTACCTCTGTCCCATTCGTGTTTCAACCGTGAAGCAGTTGCGTTTGCATGGCTATGTTTCGGTTTGAAGGGTGAGATATGGTGTGAATTTACTGGGTACAGAGGAATAACACCTAAGTCCTCAGGAATGGCAACGCATGGGGAGTATCATAGGCGAAACAGTATACTCTATTATGTCCATAGTACTGCTCATGTCTATAGGCGACGGTTACCACTTTCCATCAGGTGGGCCGTCAGCTTGTTTGCCATTCTAAGTCGTATAAAAAAAATATATTGGAGATAATAAAGATTTATAGATAATATACACTGTGGCTTAGAGACAACTCATATTTACAAACTAGTTATAAATATTTAGTATAATAGTCCATAATTATTTAGACCATTAACGTTTAAAGCCATTATAGTTCAGAGCTGAAACTCGTTACAAGGAATCAATTAAGTGAGGAGGAGCACAGGAGGGGGCGGGGGCGGGGGAGAGGGGGGCTGTGTAGCAGGAGGAAGCTGGGGGATGCAATAATTAGGCGCGCGGATTAGCCTCCGGCGAGGAAATTAACTTGAAACTCGATGGCTTCCGGAGCCTCTATTTTAGAAGACAATCGCTCGCGTAATTAAGGTCTGTGCCAATTTCAATTAATGAGAGCGAGCAGGTATTCGGGTGGCGGATTGCTCGCAGAGTTACGTTCGAATTGTTTCCTCCGGCGCCGCTGTGTGAAGAGTTACGGCTAGCTACGAATTATTGGGTGCCGCTCCGTCTCTAACTCTTGGCGGGAACGGTACTATTATATGTGAAGTGCATTTTGTTATTTTAAATGAGGTAATGATAACTTTATTACCTTAAAAGTATTAAATTTTAAAGAAAAGACTTTCTACATTCAACCGTGCGGCGCGCAAATATTTCATTTGGAACATGTTCTTAAAATTATATGTTAAAATAGTCTTCAAGTAAATAAAAACATTTCTTAATAAGCCAGTTGTATAGTTTTTCATTATTTTTTTAATATATTTGTGATTTTCTATCAAGAAAATTATTTTTCATTTAACTTCGACTAGAGACCAGAATTGTTCAAAGTATAAAAAACGTTCAGTTTAACCACTTAAAAAGACGAGAAAGGGATTGTTAGTAATGGAGACTGAGAATCCCATTGCTAGCAATATACCCAACCAGGTCGACCTCCTCGCGGTTCCCCCTGGAAACTATCATGGTTAATTCCTGATGAATTTATCATGATGGGCTAACTGGCCTGTTTTCATTCTCATCTATCACCCTTCACTGGTGCTCCGCCAGCGTATCCCGTTAGCGCAGGCGGGGTTACCATATCATTTTCACCCATCAAAAAAACACTTAAAACCCGCACTACTTTTTAGACATTGTAATGGGTACTTCGATTACTATTCTTATAAACTTTTACCCGCGACTTCGTACGTAATACGATATTGATAGACAGGGATACAGTTTTTTAATAGGTGTTTATTGAATGGTAACTCCAGCCCGCCTGCGATATCGGGGTGATAGTTTCCAGGGGCGATGAGGTTATGCGTAGAGGTCGACCTGATAGAGTATATTGCTAGCAATGGGTCTGTTGGATTCCTATTACTAATAATTCCTTATCTCCAAGGGGATATAAAAGGTTATAACATTATTTATCCCAAAAACTCCATGCATACCAAATTTTACACTGCTAAGGACACCTTAAAAGCTCAATAAATCGGTAGGTTGGGTCCTAAAGGGGCAACAAACAAACAAACTCATTTTCACGTTTTATAATATTAATTATTCTATAGAATAGAAGTAAATTGACGTTGATAAAAACAAATATACCGATGAATATGAAGTTTGAATGGAATCAAAATGAAGGTGCACATTGTTCAGACATGAATCGCATACAAAATAACATATTTAGTAGTTTGCGAACGGCGTACAATGAGTTGTGTCGCGAGGGGGGGCGGCCGGAGGGGGCGGAGGGGAGAGCGGGACCGCTGCAGCCCGTCGTCATGGCAACCGCCCCCGCCTAATCAATTGCAGAAATATGTACGAGCCATTACCACCGTAAGTTGCACCGCGCACCCGCCCCGAATAACTCAACACGGGGACAATATAGGGGGAGTATAATATATACAAAGAGGTCAAGTTTAAATTGCCGCTTTATACAGGAGAACGCTCGGCGACATTACGCACACTTGGGAAAGCGAAGAAAAGATGTATAGCCGCGCAACTGCTCGTGGCTACTGACTGTCACTTGTGACTGTTATACCTACTTTACAATTTTGTGCTGTTAATTTACTGGTTTCATACCACACACAACAATAATATAAACTATAAACAATGCCGGCATTTTAATTCCACCTTTAAAAAGAGAACGATTTGACTGTAGATTTTGTAAGCGTATTGGTCGGATTTAACGATTCCTTTAATCGAAGTTACTCTGTAGTGATCATACATTTATTTTGTCAGGATAGTCATATTTCGAGTTTTTTTTTTTTTGGTGGATGAAAATGGAATGGTAACCCCGCCTCCGCTAACGGCCGGAGCACCAGTGCAGGGTGATAGATGAGAATGAAAACAGGCCAGTTAGCCCATCATGATGAATTCATCGGGAATTAACCATGATAGTTTCCAGGGGGAACCGCGAGGCGGTCGACCTGGTTGGGTATATTGCTAGCAATGGGATTCTCAGTCTCCATTACTAACAATCCCTTTCTCCCCTATTTCGACTATTAGGTACTACACTATTCTGATGGGTAAAAGTATTAAATTACTTATAGCAAATGGATTTTATCAGAAATTAAGTTAAATATCAAAAGTGAACTTAAGTTATTAGTGTTAAGTTAGTAATCACATCAAAAATATTATCAAACTAAGATACAAAATCAGATAATAGGATTACTAAAAGGTGCATGCAAATTAAGTGAGCATTATAACATGAATATGCGAATACATAATACAATCCCGTAGCAAATGTTAGAACACAAAAATATAAAGGTTATGTTTCATAAAAAAAAAGCTCCTATTATGACCAAATTCATATCAACCTATACAGAAATAGATTGGTAAAAGAGTCATCGAAATAGGTACAAAAATAATAAAAAAACATCGCAAAACGTATACAAAAAACAAGCTGTCAAATCAATTTTGAAAAATGAAAAATACATAATATTTGAAGTGTACTAAAACCATATTACATTAACAATTTAGATGTATTATGCTTATTAAAATCATTTCCATTTACCTATTAATTAAATTTCAATACAAAAGGCCTGGTGGGTTTACCTGCATAGTGTGCGTAGAGCATAGCGTGGTAACCTGCAACGAATGACAGGTAGGCCGGGCGGGCGAGCTACGAGCACGTAGACGTAGCGAGCACTCAATGCTGTAAATATCACATTATGCGACTTAGAATGGCAAACAAGCTGACGGCCCACCTGATGGAAAGTGGTAACCGTCGCCTATAGACATGAGCAGTCTCATGGACATAACAGAGTATACTGTTTCGCCTATAATACCCTCCATGCGTTGCCATTCCTGAGGACTCAAGTGTTATTTCTCTGTACCCTGTAAATTCACTGCCACATCCCACCCTTCGAAGTGAAATACAGTCATGCAAACACAACTGCTTCACGGTGGAAACACGAACGAGACAGAGGTGCCAAAGCAAACGACTTTTGTACAAAGTCTCCCTCTGGATTATGTTACTAATATTCTAACTTAATGAAATATTTTTGTGCAAAATATTTAAAAAAGGGATCTTAATAAGAGCATTAGAAGCCAAAAAAGTGTTTAGATTGTATGTCTGTCTGTGTAACTGCATTTTTGTACCGGCATCATGCAAAAGCTACCGTACAAAATTGGAAGCGGTTGCTATAGTTGTACTCCTAAAGTCTAATTTAAAAATTGGTATACATTTAACTTAATACATCATTTAGAAGTAATCTATTAAATCTTCCTACTTCTTAAATCCACGCATACAAAGTAACGGGGAAAATACTAGTATTATCACTTATATAAAATTACTTTTTGGCATTCAATGTGATACCACTTACAACAAATGGTAGGTAATACAGTATACTCTGTTATGTGCATGGTACTGCTCATGTCTATAGGTGACGGTTACCACTTTCCATCAGGTGGACCGTCAGCTTGTTTGCCATTCTAAGTTGTATAAAAAAAACCTATATTTATAACTAATTTTATTGCCCTATATTAATAATGTTTTATTAAATATAAATAAAAACGCAAATGTTTAAAATTAACTAAAGAGAATTTCGCTAAATTTCCAAAACAACAAACAATAAGACTAAACTTGTAAGGAGTGTCCCTCGCACCTTCATCAGTAGGTGGCTTTATCAGGCGTCTGTTAAAGTCCTCGCCGAGGGGACAGAAGGGATGGAAGGAGGATGAAGCGAATGATAAGTTAAACTTTGTGGCAACTTGACTAAGTGTGATAAAGAACTTTGTCAACGCGAATATCCTACCCTACTGTCTAACGCCTAGTAATCAAAGCACGATCTTCCCCCATGCATCTCAAGTCATGGTAATATTAAACTTTGTCATTTATAAAACTATAGAAAGAAAATTAAAATTACTCTAGTAGTTACTATAGAATATTATGGATCTGAATCATTTTTAAAGCATAGAAAATAAAAAAGAACTAAATCTAGGTAGCAAATCTTAAATTCTTTATATTAAATATCTTTCCTGATCCCAACAGCAGGAATAGTCGAGAAATGATTTAATCAGAGGGAGACTTTGTACAAAAGTCGTTTGCTTCGGTACCTCTGTCCTATTCGTGTTTCAACCGTAAAGCAGTTGTGTTTGCATGGCTGTGTTTCAGTTTAATGGGTGGGATATCACGTGAATTTACAGAGTACAGAGAAATAACACCTAAGTCCTCAGGAATGGCAACGCATGGGGGTTATCATGGGTGAAACAATATACTCTGTTATTTCCATAGTACTGCTCATGTATATAGGCGACGGTTGCCACTTTCCATCAGGTCGTCAGCACGTTTGCTATTCTAAGTTGTATAAAAAAATCATCATTGATCATCATTTCAGCCGTTAATCGTCCACTGCTGAACATAAACCTACCCAATAAATTTTGCCAGTAGTTGCCACGCTTGGCAAACGCGTAAGTAACTACAGTTAAGCTTTTAGAGATATTTTAAGAGAGACGCTGCTGCCCATCCCTCTAGCATTAAGTTCCCTTGGTTGCTTCTTATGACACCCACGGGAAAGGCCTTTTCTATACCGGGATCACACGGCCAGGCGACCCATGTTTTGCCTTTAAGGTTTTACTTATTTACTGAGTTTAAAAGATAAATATTACCTGCTTAATTTGCTTCTCAAGTTAAAATCTAGGCACTGGAGTTGTTCTGTTTCCGCTCACGAATTTTTCGCGGCGTTATCTCGTCTAAAAATGACATTTATTTACATTTATAAAATTATTTTATTAGTGTTTGATGTGGAAATATTAAAAAAGACAAATCTGTGATATCATGAAATTTTCCAAACGCGTAATATTTGGGATAGACTAGGAAATAGCCCTCTTTTCAAGCGACTTCAAAAAAAAAGAAAGTTCCCGATTCGGTTGTATTTTTCTTTTATTATGTTTCTTACCTAATAACTCTTTTTTTCTTTTTATTTTGAAATTTGAAATTTTTGAAAATTTAAATTAAATTTTTTTGTCTGAAAGTATATACTTACAAATTCGTTTCACAGAAATATTATGAAAACCGATTCAGTAGTTCGATTTTTAAATCAAAATCGTTTTGCCAGGATTGAAATCGCTTTGTGGAATACAGTCCTAGTCATTAACTCATGCAATTAAAACATATTTCAGTTACTCGGACAGAGTTACAGTTAAAATCTAGGAGTTTTATGATAATAATAGTAAATCTTTTTATATCAGATATACCTATAATTTCCATTCATTACTATAACAATTTAATTTTAATTATTAATAATTTTTACATTATATTACATTATACAAATATTAATTAATAATATACCAATTAAAATCATTATATATATATATATATATATATATATATATATATATATATATATAAATTTCTTGTTCATCAGGTACGCAGTATGGAATACTGTCTTAACAATTACTTATTTTAAATAGTCTTTCATGAAATTTTGCTTTACATTTACGTAAAATAGAAATAATAATAAGTAAAATAAAAATGCGGCAGTTTACTTCTAATATAAATAACTCTACACATTCTTGTCAATAACAGGGTAACATAATAATGAATTTATTGCTAAAACAAATAATTAAGCGAAAGAAAAAAAACTACTTACTGACTACACAGTAATTGAGTAGGGGAGCTCCAGTTTTTAAAACACTTGTCATTTGAAACGTTTATTATCTTGCGTTCGACATCTGACCGCTGTATCTGATAGGAAGTTCCTTGTAGACAGCATGCAGCTCGTTGCGCACGTCCCTGAGAACAAATATGTATTTACAATATTGTTTCTTAACTTACAAATTAGTTTTATTTCCAAGCCGTAATTTTATGTCTCAAAAAATTTTAAACTAAAATTAAAAATAATTATTAAAAAAAAATAAAGTATGTTGTGATCTTACATATACAAACATATATCGATACCTTAGATTATATAGATAGAGTGTCTCCATACAAATGCTTCGAGAAAAGCGGATCAATTTTTTCATACAATTATGAGTGATTCCATTATAACTTCTATATTTACTTTGTCTTATAATTTCTGTATCTTTTTAATGCGTAAATACTTATTTTATTTATTAAACAATACGTCAAAATACATTGTTTTAAGTATATAGAACACTGATAAAAAAACGAGGCAGCTAATTTGACAATTAGCTGACAAAAAGTTGACCCGCTTTTGTGACTCGATTTTCTATCTATATAATCTAAAGTGGCGACGAATTGAGAATTCAGTATCCCAACACTCCTGTTTAATAGCAGGGTGTGGGGGAAAGGGATTGATAGTAATGGAGCCAAATAGCCCCATTACTAGCAATATACCCTGTCAGGTCGACTACCACGTGGTTCCCCCTGGAAACCATCGTGGTAAATTCTAGTTGGATGCGACAGGATGGGCTAACTGACCTGCTTTCATCCTCATCTGTCATTTCTCACTGGTGCCTCGCCAGTGTATACCGATAGCGCAAGCAGGGTTAAAATGACATTATCGCCCATTAAAAAAATAGCAAGGTGTCGTAAGATGTGACTACAGAGTTAAGAATAAAAACTACCTACAGTAACAAGTACAAGATAAGGAAACCTCAAAATTAAACTTTACACCAAATCTCGCCTGATTAATGTGATATTTAATAATGTTCTCTTATGCCAGTAATCTGTGCCCACTGCTGGGATGTCGTAAGTAATTATAAAGATAGTAGTGACGGTAATAAACAACTACAAACAAACAAACCCCCCCCCCCCCCTCTTTATGGGGGAGATCTATATTCAGCAGTGGACAAGAAACAACTGATATGATAATGAATGGATAAATGAAAGAATGAATGAAATCTCTTCATAGTTATTATTATTATATTATTCTCTTTATAGTACATTTATTCTTCCTTCAGTAAATGATACATATTATAAAGGTTAATAATATGTGAACAAAAAATATTTAAAAACTTAATTACATACATGCAAGATTAATATTAAATTTGATTAAGGTTTTAATGAATGAGACAGCGATACATCATTTGACACATTTAAGGTACACGTTACACTATACACATACGAAACACATTACCCGCTTTTCTATTATAGTCGGTAATAATGATTTTAATTGCACAATGTTTTACTTAATTCAGTAACAAAATATTATAATATTATTAATACTAGAACGTGTAATATATTTACATAAACATAAGTGCATATGACAGCACGAAGACTAGGGTGGCGATGCTGGCGTTGGGCGGGCGGAGGGAGGGGGCGGCGTACGCGGAGGAGGAACAGCTCACGGTATAATCACGTCGAGAGGCCGCTGCACTACGATGATATTTCTCATATTAGCCCAGCAATTAATTGATAATGCGCCCCACGAGCCAATATCGCCCGCTACACCTGCTACTGAAAGCTAAGATTAACATCGCTTATTGTTCCACTATTAATCGTTTGTTTAATTCGAGGCAACGGCCCGCGAAATTAATTGCGGTCAGTAATTGTATCGCCGACGGTCCGGCCGATATACTTCTTTTAAAAATTATCATCTCCGCGTATTACGTTGCACGGCTACACTGGCGGCCTCCCCTTAAAATAACTCCTAAAAGGCGTGTACCACTCCATTATATGATTTAAAAATCATATTCAAAATCACTATTACGGCCAAACGAGCGTGCCCGCTATTCTATTACCGACCCTTGCTGGAATAAATTCCATCGAAGCGCAATAATAATAAAAAAATGTTGAGAGCTTGTCGCGTGCAAAAGACGTGCGGTCACGCGGCCCTCCCCCGCCCCGGCCGCGCCCCCCCGCCGCGACCTCCTCGCGGCGAGCACCCTCTGACCCTCCCCGCACGAATATAATATGCATTATGCGAAATCCGTAACTCTTGTGCCGGCTCTAGAGAATACCTTAAACAATCCCAATGGACAGCGACTGTGTACTCTATTTGTTGGAGCACAAAGTGTAATATGCAACAAGCAAATAGGGCTCTTAAGTCTTTTGGTGAGCGGCACGGTGTGCGGTTTCCTTGGGGCGGGCGAGGCCTGCACTCTCAAGATAACGCCGGGTATTAATCATAGTATTATCGGCCGGTGGCGGCGTCTTTGTTATGACACCGCGTTATTGCAGTTTTTTCTCTATCTACCCTCGAAGACGCGATAAACGGTTCGAGAGTGAATTTTCCGGGACAGATGTTTTAGTAATCTGGGAGAGTCGCCCAAAACGCCGCAATAAAACATTCAATAAAATTATGCTGTAACGACTATGTACGACAGCGCCGCCCGCTCGTACTTGTATTGAGATATAAAATAATAATAGGTACCAATGTACATTCCATTACTTTCCGTCAAAAATACGTCACCGGTTATTTGATTGATTATTTATTTATTTATTTATTTATTTATTTATTTTGTTAAAATTATTTTGTTTAATTCCGCCACCATTAGTATGCGTGCGACTGCCAACACTCAAATATTGAATACTTTTTTTTTTGCTGGGTGAAAATGGTATGGTAACCCCGCCTGCGCCAACGGGATACGCTGGCGGAGCACCAGTGAAGGGTGATAGATGAGAATGAAAACAGGCCAGTTAGCCCATCATGATGCATTCATCAAGAATTAACCATGATAGTTTCCAGGGGGAACCGCGAGGAGGTCGATTTGGTTGGGTATATTGTTAGCAATGGGATACTCAGTCTCCAGTACTAACAATCCCTTTCCCCCCAATATTGACTACTATTATTATTAGCAGAAGTTCCACGACCTAGTTTTTTTTATGCATCTTAAAATGGCAAATAAGCTGACGGCCCACCTGATGGAAAGTGGCAACCGTCGCCTATAGACATGAGCAGTACCATAGACATAACAGAGTATACTGTTTTGCCCATGATACCTCCCATGCGTTGCCAATCCTGAGGACTCAGGTGTTATTCCTCTATACCATGTAAATTCATTGCCATATCCCAAGCTTTAAACCGAAGCACAGCCATGCAAATACAACTGCTTCACGGTAGAAACACGAATGGGACAGAGGTGCCCAAGCAAACGAATTTTGTACAAAGTCTCCTTCTAGTATGTATTATATATTAAGAAGCTTGTATTATTATTAGTAACCAAAGATTCAGGTAATATCAACAGGAGATATTGTGCCTATTTTTTCACCTAGATACGCATGTTTTGTTAAGTTTAATATATTTTTCCATTACATAATCGTATAGATTATATATCTAAACATAGGTTTATCTATGTATTTAGTGGTATAAACCATTTCACATTAATTACAACAATTTAACTGAAAGGTTTTTTTTATACAACTTAGAATGGCATACAAGCTGACGGCCCACCTGATGGAAAGTGGTAACCGTCGCTTATAGACATGAGCAGTACCATGGACATAACAGAGTGTACTGTTTCGCCCATGATACCCCCCATGCGTTGCCATTCCTGAGGACTCAGGTGTTATTCCTCCGTACCCAGTAAATTCACGCCATATCCCACCCATCAAACCGAAACACAGCCATGCAAACACAACTGCTTTACGTGGCAATAATATTGTAGTACACTTCCGTGTTACACCTAAACACTTGAACAGTGAGATTAAAAGTAAAAATTATTATTCCTTATCGAAAACTCAACCAGTTTCATTTGTCGATAAAAATTTAATTCCACAAATTCCTGGCAGGGCGCGCGCGAGCCGAGCATGTGAACCATTAATCACTGTATTCATAAATTAACTTCCAGCCAATGCGTAAAGGTTCATAGATATCGTTGAATAAAGCATTTTCCGAGGCATTTCTCAAAAAGCCTCGAGCATGACTGGCTCAATTGGAGCCTGCACATGTGACGGCGCGGGCGAGGGCGACATGTCGGCTCCCGGCGCGCAACAATTTGTGTATGATTGATGGTGGCCGCCGGGGCCGAGGCATACGGAGCGCCGCGGAGCATGGGTATCGCACCCATGAACGCCTCGCGGGACCGATCGCCGCCGTTCAACATGTTCCGCCACCCTTGAATGTTTTAACGTTGAACACTTGACACCAATTATGCAGAGTGGAACAGTAATATTTAGCAAGCATCTAAAAGATTTCTCCACCAGTATAAATGTGGTTCCCGAAAAAGGTGTTAATATAGGAGATTTCAAATGTCGGCTCGTGTTTCTTTGGAATAAGTAATCAATTTCATTAGTGGGACATTCCCTGAAGAGAATCCTAATACGAGAGCTTAAACTTCACTGTTAATATTTGGCAAATCAAGAACTCTTCAATTTTTTTGTACAAATTATTGTTTTATTCTAAAGATCTAAATGGGTTCGTCGATGCACTACATAAGGATGAGTTACACTGAGCCATTATCTGTCCACTGCTGAACATAGGCCTCCCCCATGATGGCTGTAGGCTGTTCCTGATGGCAGTTTATCGTTGGAGGGATTTTGCCAGTAGATGCCCGTTTGGCAGGCGGATTGACAACCTTATTTTTTTTTTTTTTACAACACAGGGGGCAAACGAGCATGCGGCTCACCTGATGGTAAGTGACTACCGCCGCCCATGATCACCCACAACACCAGCGGCATTGCAGGTGTGCTGCCGGCCTTTTAAAAAGGAATATACTCTTTTCTTGAAGGTTATGTTGTCGTATCGGTTCGGAAATACAATAATACTTAATTATTTGGCTTTGGTCATGTTTTAAGAGGAACGCTGCTACCCATCCCTCGACCATTTATTTATCTTAGTCGCCTCTTACGTCACTCACGCATAAGAAAGTGGTGGCCCATTCTATATCGGG